AAATTCAAATCATGAATCATGACCACCTAAAGCTTAACCTTTTCAAAACTAACTAAGACACTCACCTAGGTCTTAAGGGCTTAGTAGTGACTTAGGCTAAATCAAGTTTCATTTAAATGAGGATTAGAAAAGTAATTATCAATTAAAACTAAGACATTTTTCAAACACTACAAGACTAATTGCGAATAAAGGCAAGCAGTAAATTGGGCAAAAAATAAACATTCCTTATTAGCATTTGTCAAATATAGGGACATAATCTTCAAAATTAAATTACAGATAATAATTTTCCTACTCTTAGGGATAATTGAGACATCAATGTTCATTTGATCACTAAGGGTATTTACAGGATGAATTATTAAGTGACATAATAAGTTTAAAAGAACTCGGAATTTTCCACCAAGCAACGAGAGAGTAGCACGGACCTGCTTCTTTCTCTAGATCTGTTGGATACCTCAGAGATCTACTGAACTTAATATATTTTGCTTGACGACATCATCCTTAATTAAACTCCTAAGGACCCACCAAGATATGACCTAGGATTAGATTGGTTGTCAAAATTTTACTTCCCTGTTTCATATAAACTGCCTTAACATGCTTTTTGAGTTTCAGGTGGTGGAACGAGAAGACTCGCTAGGTACGCTTTTACAGTTTTCAGCATTGTCTTTCTTGTACTTTCATACTGTACTTTTATACATGCAAACTTGCATGCTAAACAACAAGACCACCCTGCATGAAAGCTAAAACTATTAGGATAACCACAAAACCAAAACCAAAACTAAAACTAAAATCAACCAAGATAAAATTGATCTCCACAACTTTCAAAATATAAAAAAACTCAAAATTTAATCACAAACATCACACAAAACTACAACTTTAACTAAATTAAGACGTCTATATCAGATGATCGGAAATTCCTTAGAGGAGGTAACCTACGGATGCTAACGAGGCTTCCCACAGTCTAAATGAAATTATGGAACTCATTAAGTTGAGTTTAGTAAATTCATTTGGACTAAGTCAATCTAATAGAAAATAGTGGTGTCGGAACGAGGGAACCGTAGGATCCTAACCGGTGTCGCTCTAATCAACTTTAACATGCCCCCATAAAATTTAAAGAACTTCAACCATAGGCCCACACGATTTGACATCATAACTTGATACACTAGAAAACTCAAACTCGTCGCGGCAAGGAGCTTGGATCTAGCATGATGGGCAGCACAGCCATCTTCAACAGCAAAATCTGTCTTCCTCAGCTAAACCAATCTTCCTTCCTTAGATATAAACAACAAAGCCATAGGAATTCAAGGTTGCTTGCCTACGCAATGTAAATTCTCATCTTATTTTTAGGCCTTTGTATAACCCTGCTATACAAAATAAGCCCTAACCCGTCTTAGGATTCCGAGGTTATCGTCCGTCACGACCTAAACCCTCACATCTTCTAGGCTATTTGTGTGATAGTTTCACACGAATGTAAGCTTTAACTAATAAAATTGACAGGACGAAACACTTAAACATTTCTCCTCAAAACTGAAGCCAAACATTAGGATAGCCCGAGAAGTCTCCGAGGTTCTCCTCTGGATCCATGACATCCCCTAATTTTTCCTCCTTTAGTCTCTACAACAAAATGCTCCAAATTTGAACCCATCCCCTTTCACACCTCTACGTTTGATCTCATTGAAAAGTCCAACCCTTTGAAACTCCTTGAAGATAATATTTTCTAATTTTTATCGAGAGTCTTCTTAGGTGACTTTGGTCATTTAAGATGTAATTAACTATAGGGGCTTGCCTATATAAGAAGCATGTCCGAATCCAGCTTAATATAAACCCTATTTAATTCTTTGTATTAAATAGGGGAACTTGTTGGCAAATACAAAGGTTTCGCAGACCAATCAGATGTCATCCTTAGTTTATTTGATCGAGCCTCATCCTCAAGTCTTACGTTTATCTTTCAGAATTATCCTTCGGGATAGATACAGTTCGCTCTTTCATTTAAACTGTGAAAAATATGAGGTCAGTTTGATTTCATATTTTTCTAAAACTAAATATATATGTAAATTAAAACGTCCTTCCAAAGCGGGTGACAGGATTTTGATTCCGGTGACCGACAACTTCTTACCGGCAACTCCTCCAACCAAAAATAGCGCTGACATGTAGGGATGACTTTCATAGTATGGTTGGATGGATAGTTGTGCGTTCTCTCTTGGTTTCCACCCATTGTTTTGTGGTGGTCGCTCCTGGTGTCTTTGTTCGAAGGGCTCGGAAGCGTTATCATATGCACTGATGTATTTATTGGTCGTATCCAACAATTTGACCAAGTTTTGGGGCTCCATAAGGTTGAGGTCAAAACAAAAACTTTCGGACCTCAAACCTTGGGTTAGAGCGGCTCGAGCAATATCTAATTTTAAGTCCTTCACATCTAGTGTTTCTCTCTGGAACCACACAATAAAGGAGAACAACCTCTTGTTGGGTCTTTGTTTCAACTGCCATAGGGATGAAAAACTTTTCTTAGGTCTTAGTGCACTAGTGAACTGTGTCAGAAAAAGCCTCTTGAATTATGCATAACAGGTACTTACCCTTACCGATAAAGCGTTGAACCATCTTAGGGCAGACAATCTCAACATTAGAAAGAACATTTTACACTTAAAGGCATCAGAGATCCTTAATAGGCACATTGAGGATTTAAAAGACGTGAGGTAGTCATTGGGATGCGACCGTCCCTTATATGACTCAAAGGCTGGTAGTTTAAACTTCTCCAAAGGTTTAGGTCTAGAGATTAGTAAAGGGAAAGTGTTCTCTGGTTGTTTTAGCACTTCGGCTTGCCCAAGTCAATGTCTTTGTACCACGGGCGGATCCGTCACTGTACTGGTACCGCACATCCTCAAATCTTTCTAGATGGTTTGTTCTCCTCCCATTAGGCGGCAGGGGTTCCTCTCGAGGGACGTCGGGTGTCTCATGTTGAGCTTGTTCTCCTCCTGTGACGGGGGTTGCCCCCAAGGTTGCAACTGATCTGAGCGCTTTTGCGAATTGTCTTGACATCTGATTGGTGATCTAAGTTCTCAAGTCCTGCAGTCTATGTTGGATGAATTCATTCACAAACTCTCTAGTGCATCCCACCTACTATATTTCTCTGACTAGTTTCTCTGTGTTGTTGTTCTTTTCATCTTGTTGATGACATGGTTCCACGCTCAACACATCTGAAATGATTTTATAATCTAAGAGTGTCCAAGAAACACACTCAAGGAATAAAGCGTAAACAAGATCAAGTAGAAAAAGTAAAAAAAAAAAAAAACTTGAAATGCATAACTGTTTACCATGAAATGACTTTTATTTATAGACATAGTGATATGAATGTTACAACTACATATTGCACTATAATCATTATCTTTTGATGGGCTATTTTAGTAAATTACAGAGAAAATATAATAAGATATTAGATCAGGTTGCTCGACTGATAGTGAGCCCGTCGATCGTCAAGCTTAGTCGGTCAATCGAATTCGGGTTATGCGTCAGTAACCGATCGACAAGTGTGCCGGTTTTCGATCCGATGGTTCAATCTACCAACGATCATCTCCTCCTCTTTAGTTGTCATTCTTTCTGACATCCATGAGCATTGTTTAGCCCCAATTATTCTATCATCTTCTATTTTGGCCTTCAGATTAGTTTGAGAATTGTGAGGTCGTATTTTTCGTATACAAACTCATTTGGTTTATGAATTTTTATGGAAAACTAAGAATAACTCGTGGAGCAGCTGGAAAACTAAGAATAACTCGTGGAGCAGCATATTGGTCCAACTTATTAATCGAAAACCGGACCTTCGCCATTCTGGGACAGCCGTTGCTGGTTATGAGCCTCAGTGAGACTTCATGATCGACGAAGCCGTTACCGGCGGGGCCTCCCCTACGCCCTCGGTCTCCGAGGAGGCCGAAGAAGTATCGAGGCTACTCCCTCTCTCGCTACTCAGATCGCAGCTCATCCCTCCCCCTCCCAATCGACGGTCGTCGGCGGTTGACTTTCTGTATGACTTCGGTGGTTCCTCCTGGATTGCCTATGGTGCTTCCTCCCTCCTCGTGATTTCTCACTTCCCTTCGCCTCTCCCTGAGCACGAAACCCTAGTCGGTCCATTTTTTCTCCAGGTCATTGAGCCGTCCTCCAGCGGCGATGCCAACGTGCTCGCTGACGTAGACGCCGTCACCTGGTGCCCCGTTCTTCCTTCGGAGGGCGAGGTCGCAGCATCGCACGGCAAATCTATTTCGCTCTACGAGCCTCAACCCGACAATGATACAGGTTTGAAGAGTTGTCGTTCTGTTTGACTGTGATGCCTTCTGATAATAGGCGTGCTTTCTCCGATTGATTGAGGCTTATTAGGGCTAGTTAATGCTTCATGTTTATTCCTTTCCCTTGCGTTAAAGCAGCAGAGATATAGAATTGTGAAAAAACTCGTTGATCATTCCTGTGGATCTGTTTGGCATCCTTTTTTAAGACAGAGAGTTTTAGACACGTCAAGTTATAGGAATTTTATAACTACATTCCACGGAATTCTTATGCATATACATATCTAACACCAAAACTTCAATTTTTACATACATGCCACCTTTTCTATGCATAAAAATAGTGAAATACACCTTTTTTTTTTTTTGCATAGTTACCGTGGCATGTATGTACAAGTTGAAGTTTTGGTGTTAGATATGTATATGCATAAGAATTACATGGTATGTAGGTAAATCTTCCTAGATTGTAATGTTCTGGTAGTTGCTGTTTCTGGCCGTTATTGGTTAAATCCAGTATCTGTTAAGTCCCATCATTAATAGGGTTTAATTGATCAAAGGACTTGTCCCCCTCGTAAATCTTAAATTCTTAAACACATATCAAACTCTTTATGCGAATATAATAAGATTCTATGGCTGTCAGTCAATAAATTTTTTATGTTTTATTCCTTTCAAAATTGACTAAGTTTGAATTTACAAGATTTAGGGTGTTCTTCATGCCATTCTGGATTTTCTAACCAACGAATTAGTAACATGTTGAAAAAATGCACACATTCTTTCTTTACTGTGAAATAATGGCCAAATGAATTTCATTTATAGTTTTTCTGTAACAACTATTCATGACAGTGGGAAGTTATAATAATTTGAGTGATATATGATTTCGTAGATCAAGTTATAAGATAAGTAGCACCACTGTTTTTGATAATCCATATCCATAATTTGGGTTATGAATTTCTCTTGAGAATCATGAAACACTAAAAAAATTGATCAACTGTTGGAACAAATTGAGCCTGTATCATAGTATACTGGGCCAACTAATGCGCCAAATCTGATTATGGGAAGGCTTGAATTTTGAGATTGGATTGGATAGAGCAATCTTGTTGACAAATCAAATACTATATGTTTGTAATTATAAATGCATATAGGTAGAATTTATAAATGCATTTATACATTTATTTATATGAATCTTTATATGAAGAAGTATATGTATGTATTTTGGACTAGGAACTTGCCTTAAAAAGTAAAACATATCAATTTTTTGGTTTGAATATCAGTTGGATTGAATGTAATGAGCCATCCCTAGCTTGAATGAAGGATGAACCTAATTTGTAATTAGATTTCACCTGATGCGAGATTTTTGATAGAATGAATTTTATATGATGTTCTGGCTGGGTTAGTTCGTCTTTAGATTGAATCGTTAATAACTTTAATTGTTCTATGGGTGCTTCATGGAAAATAATTCATTTTCAAATAAATCTTTAAATTTTGGTTTTTGATGGAGCCTCCCCTACCGAATACATATCTAAATTTTGTTTGGCATGAAATCTCTTATCTAGATTGATGCGGGAAAATAGACAAGCGTGGGAGTCGGAGACCTCGTGTTTCCGTGACCACGAGGTTTGTGCAAATGGACAGTGTCGAATCGAAGAATTGTTCTTTTGATTTCGGTCCAATTTTCAACACATTTTCTTTTATCTTTATTTCTTTCAAGTTCTTTCTTATATATATGTTGTATTAGTATTTTTAAAGAGTTTTTGGTGTGTTTTTTGTCGGGACAGCCGCCACAATCTCTGTTTTCCCATCTATGGCTGTATCCAAGGGCGAGTGGTGCTTCAGCTATATCTTGTTCTGTGGTGATGAGTATCCTCGACTTTCCTTTCCTTTGCATCATTTCCTTCTGTTGCCACCGTCACCTTACCTACAACGGCCGCACAGAAACAACCCTCCTTGGCCATTTTTCAGCAGTCCACCTTGTCTCCATTTTTCAAACCACACACTCCTCCCTTTTGACTTACAGCCGCTATCCAAGAACCCCACTTCCCACTTCACTTTGCTGCAAGTAGCCATAAACCGCTCATCTTTTGCTGATGCTGCTTTGGACCAGCCACACCTTGGCTGTTGCCACTCAGGACAACTCTCCCACATCAATTCCGGCCTTCTCAATCGTCCTGCTCATTGCTGCAGCCCCGCAACTGCGTCACCTTGCTATTTTACCACTGTTCAGTCATACCTCATCGTTGCCTCATCCCCGCAACTTTGTTGCCTAATTTTTTTACCGCAGTCTGGTCATCCTACCTCGCTGTCGCCTCCTTGACCCTTTCGCTTTGCTATTTCACCCTTGCCCGACCTACCTGCGTGCTGCCTTTCATGACAACAAGAATATGCTATTCCCCCTGCAACGCTCACCCCCTTACTCCACTTCCCTACCTCGCCGTCACTTTTCTCCAACCCTCAACAGCCTCCATCACTACCTTAGAGTCGCCCCAGTCGGGGTTGTGTGTCATACTTGTTATTCCCTATTTAAGTGCGTCGGGTTGTAATCTCCTATTTGCTTTTTTAATAATAATATTTGCTTTCATATTATTTTTTGAACTAGTCCAGTATGATTTGATATCAGAGCTAGCATAACATTAGTCCTATTCTAGTGTTACGAAATTAGCCCCCTCCCCCAAAATATTTTTTTCTTCTCTCTCTTTTCCACTCAAACAACCCATACATACCTTTCACCCCTTCAAACCTAAACCCTAGTAACGCCACAGAGGAGATAATTATCAGAAACTTGATCGGGAGGAATTTGCATAATGCCATTTATGAGAAATCTTCAAAGAGCTGTTCAGGAACTTTCTAAGAAAATTCTCCAACTGCAACAAAAGTTTGTCGCCTTCGAGAAGAGACAATTCCAAAGGGTCTCTCCTAGCGACTAGATGATTTATCAGATCGAAGGGATAAAATAAATCCCTTTCACAGTAGTTTCCAGTAATGAAGAACCAATACCCCAGAGATTTGACATGAAATATCATAGGAGAAGCCAAAATTTTGAAATGTAAGGTGACTTGCATATTTTGACGATCACATGGATCCGGGCGAGTTCATCGAGCGGCTTCAGGTAGTGGAATATGTATTGGAGTACAAGGATGTCCCACTAGACAAAATGATAAAGCTAGCCTTCATCAAGTTAAAGAAGAGTATGTTGCTATGGTGGAAAAAATCGAAGTACTTATGTAAGTGGGAAGCGAAAAATAATATCACTACCTAGTCCAATAAGAGATGCAACACTAGTACTTATCAGTTCATTAACAACTGGGCATATTCTTGAGACAACCTCTCTGGGTGATCGCCGCATCTTACAAATACAGTTTAATCTTAGAATCAAGCTGTAAGAGTATACCCAATCGAGCATTCAATTTATCCCCACCTGAGGAGAAACTAGTTCAGAGAGGAGAATAGGTGAAGCCAACCAACATTCCCAAATTTGTACCCGCTAGGAGGTGCAACAGGTTTCACAGGCCCAAACAAGAGTATGGTTTATTTCATTAAGCAGGGAGCATTTGAAGAACTGAACAATGACACAATAGCTTCTCGAGAAAGTGAGGACACAAAAGAGAAGTACCAACTGCCAACTGATGAGGGAGAGATGCATGTTCTTCAAACTGAGCCCATGAGAGATACTCCACCGTGATTAACAATTGTTTTAGACAGGAGTGAGTCTGAGGTAATGGGTGTTCATGCAGAGCATGAGGTTGTGGCGCCTTGAATTCTCTTTTTTGCAGAAGTTTAGAAGAGCAACAACATGACTGGTATTGAATGTCTAAATGGGCCATAAGTTTAAGGAGTTGATGCCATATATAGGATGAACTCAGATGAGAGAATTTTAGAATTTTTAGATATATAACCTACCTCCCGAGTTGCTCTTACTAAGAAAAATTCAAAATATTAGAGATGAGAAGCCTGAAGCTACTTCTAGAAGACCATATGAAGTCATTTGAGTATTAAATTCAGTTCAAAAGTATACCACCGATATATAGTCAGGCAAGAGGGATGACCCACCGTTTGAAAATCGCCTTAGGAGCTTTTGCGGGAAAGAACATCCTACAATGGGATCCAGGTCTTTTCAAAAAAGAAAAAGAGATCTCCTGAATGGTTGCTATTGAGAATTGCCTAGCTTTCCATAGATTTCAGTCCAGAGTTAGTTCCTTTGATTGAATTTGTTAATCAGATGTGCCCCCACTGGGTGCGGGGAGTGGAAGAGGTAAATTATAAATATGATAGGTTGAGAGTTACGTTATGAAAATCTATGTCGACATGCATCTCCAGCCATGTTGTGTCAAAAAAAGATGAATATTTATTCTATCAGGATGTGCTTTAGAATGACAACACCTGCGGGTTTGGCTTATCGGGAGACTATAACCTTAAAACTATCGGGGCAGACCTATATGAGGAGACGAAATCTTTGATGGATGAGCTTGAAGCTGTCTTAATCTCTTGATACTGATACAGGTGTCAAATAGGCGGACGTGGAGTCGGAGATCTTGTGATCTCGTGACCGCGAGGTTCGTGTGAATGGACAGTCAATGCGAACGATTTTTATTTTAATTTCTTTCCAATTTTCAGCACGTTTCCTTTTATCTTTCATTCTTTTCTAAACATTTCCTATATATGTGTTGTATTAGGGTTCGGAGATGAGTTTTCTGATAGAACAGCCGTCGACGTCTTCGATTTCTTTTTCTATGGTTGTTTCCAAGGGCTAGTGGTGTTTCGGTTGTATCTCGTTCTGAGGTGGTGACTATCCTCGACTTTCCCTTCCTCTGCTTCTTTTCCCTCCGCTGTCACCATCCCGTACCTGCTGCAGCTGCCCAGAATAACCCTACTTGGTTGTTTTTATGCAGTCCACCTTGCAGCTGCCTTCCAAACCCTGTACTCCTCCCTTCCGGCTTGCAGCTGCCTTCCAGGAACCCCACTTCCCACTCCGCCTTGCTTCCAACATCCATACACCACGCATCTTTTACTGTTGTTGCTCTGGACCAACCACACCTTGGCTGTTGCCGCTCGGGGCAGCTCTCCCACATCAATTCCAGCCTTCCCATCCATTTTACATCGCTGCTGCAAGATCGAAACTGCATCACCTTGCTGTTTAACCGCTGTCCAGCCATTCTGCTTCATTGCCGCAGCGCCGCAACTCTGTCGCCTAGCTGTTTTACTGCTGTCTGGTCACCCTACCTCGCTGCCACCTCCCCGAAACCCTTTGCTTTACTGTTTCACTGCTGCCCGGCCATCCTACCTGCTTCCTGCCATCCATGACAGCAAATATCTGTTATTCCCCAGCTGTAATCGCCCCCTTGCTCCACTTAACTCCCTTACAGTGACATTTCCCTAATCCCCAACAGCCCCCACGACCAACTTGGTATCACCCTAGTCGGGGTTGCGTCGTACTTCATTTTATTTCCTATTTCAGTGTGTCGGGTTGTAATCTCCAATTTGCTTTTTCAGTAATAATAGTTACTTCCTTATTGTTATTTGGGTTAACTTCGGTATCATAAATCAGTAATAAACCCACATTGAAAATTGCATTTTGCATTAATATATCAAAAGAATATGAAAATTGTATGAAACTATGCCTCAGACATTTGTAAAATGTGACCTATCTTCTAATCATTGTTAGATTGGATAGCTTATTTTTCAAATCAAGCTCCACCCCTCCAAATACTCAATGAATGTACTTCCTCCTAATGAATATGAAAGAGAACTATTACACTTCTGACCCTATGTTGGAGGTTCTACATTTCAAAGTTACCCGGTTTTCTAATGCAGTTTCTAGGGGTAAGCGCCTTTTTCTTGGCCATCAATTTTTTTGTTATTCTCATTTAGTATTTCTGCGCCACTAAACAAATTCTACCATTGTAATATTCTGTCAATGACAGTAGGCTGAAGTTTCATTACAGTTCATTTGGAATTTACTCAACTATTTGAAGCTTAAGTGTTTTGATATCTAATAACATTCGATATTTACAGGTTCATTCTGCTGGAGGCAGACTGCAGAGATCATGCAGTCTTCTATTATAGAAGCGATTGAATGGACTGGTTCTGGTGATGGGTTGATTGCAGCTGGCGTAGATGTTGTATTTTGGAGAAGGAAGGGTAGTTCATGGGAAATGGCTTGGAAGTCTTCAGCAGCTGTTCCTCAAGGTATGGTTTCGGCAACGTGGTCTGCTGAAGGCTCAGTTGCTACAGCAGCACGTTGCTTGTTTAATTCTGCTGAAATGGGTTCACAAAATTTACGTAAAGTGGATTGTAGGCATGTTTCTGTTTATCACAGTGACGGGAAATCTGAATTAATGAAGTTCCAACTATGCCATCCTCAACCTGTTTCTTTTATTAGGTGGAGACCATCCACATCAATGAAATTAACAAATGATGCTTTACGGTCATGGAGTGATGTGCTGCTTACATGTTGCTTGGATGGAACTGTAAGATTATGGCGTGAGATTGACCATGGAAAATCTAGGAAAGTAAACAAGGATATTGATGATAAGATAAAACAACCTTTACAAGTTGTTGCGGTTATTGAGATAGAACAGTGCCTGAATGGAACCCTTGGCACAACTATATTTATAGATTGGGCTGTAGATATGGGCAGTGTAATTTCAAAATCTGAGGGAGATTGTCATTCTCTATCACTGGCTAGTTCCAGTCATGATCAGATAGCCTGTTGCGAGTGGTTAATTAGTGTTGGGCCTGCGAACTCAGTTACTTTATGGGCCATCCACTGTTTAGATGACGTGGTTTCTTTTTGTTCTCCAAGAGTTACTTTATGGATGAAACAAAATCCTACACACCTTCAAGCTTGCAACCTCTCTAATTATCAATCTTTGTATCCTGCAGAAAAACCAATTTTGGTAAAAGTTGTTGCTATGAGGAGAGAACTGTCTGGTCCATCATATGCATGCTCTTTACTTCAGTTGCTTCCCAATAATTGCATGAGCTGGTGGTATTTCTATAGTTCATCAACGGATGATGCAGAGCACAGATCCTTAGCTTCGTTCAGCAAGGAAAGATGTCTTTCTCAATTTACAGCTGGTGTATTAAATCTAGATGGACACTCAGCAAACATATTACAATTAGTTCTCCATCCTTGTTCCTATGAACTTGAGTTGGCTGTCTCCTTGGATTCTGATGGTATTCTTCTCTTCTGGTCCCTTTCTAAACATTTCAACTTCACCTTGGGCATGCAAATGCATATTCATCCTACTTGGAAACTGTTGGGAAAAATTAGATCACAAGATTTGTCCACTGATTCACATTATTTAACCGTGGGATGGGCTCCTTTTGCTTTGGATGAAAAACCGTTGCTTCTTCTGGGATATGCTGATGGCATTGACTGTTTCCTGGTTGAAGTCCCAAGAGAAGGAGAGGATATTGTATGTTATAAAATATTCTGTGCAGCATTTGGTGATCATAATCATTTTGAACGTTCACCAGATCATATATTTGCAACACCTTCAGCTTCTTTTTCTAAAAGTTTCTTGCTTTACGGAGTATGGATGAAGGAATGTAGGACTTTAACATGGAAAATTATTCTGCAATCTGAAGATATAACTGGAAGTTCTTGTGAATTTAGATCCGATTCTGACACCCTTTTAGGGTCTGAAAATATGAGCAAATGGATGGCTTGCAGTGGTAGAAGATATTCCGCTGCCATCCATCCAGCCTCATGGAATTTTCCACACTCACAAAATACTGAAACAATGATCTGTGTTTCGGTGGTTACTCTGAATCATTCTAAGATCTCCACTGGAAAGAATGTGATTTCTGATAACGGTTCAAATGGCAATTCTTTTAGTTTAATGGCAACAGGATTTTCTGATGGTGTATTGGAGCTTTGGAAAGTTTCATCCGCAAATTCATCCGAGTCAGAGTGCGTACCCTGGGTTCTTGTGGGCAAATTTGCTGCACATGATGGCCCAGTTAATGCAGTGTCATTATCGACATGTGGTGGTAAAATTGCTACAGTGAGCATATGCAGTAAAAGCATGACCACCCTTAATATTTGGACTCCAATATGCTTGATAGGTGGTGGAAGCTTTATACTAGAAGATGTTTTATTTTTTAACGGGCCTGTGGTTGCCTTAAAATGGTCACCTATAGGAAATGGGAAGCTCTTACTTGGTGTCTGTATGCCAAATGAGTTTCACATATATTGTGAGAGAAGATCTCATTGCAATTTTGTGGAATCAGATAAATCAAAAGAGCTTCATCCTTGGTGTTGCATTTCGATATCACACTCTTACTATCATTGTCGTGATTTTCTGTGGGGACCTAAGTTGACACCCGTACTTCTTCATGAAAGGAAAATTTCAGTCTTTAGCGAGTGGTTGTCTGAAACAAAATCTAAGCACACTGGAGAACTATTTTCAGTTTATACTGCTAAAAAAAATGAAAACTTGCCTGGTTGTATATCCCTCAAAAATAATGTTCATGGTGCCAACAAATTAAATCAATTTGACAATAAAGAAAGTGGAGCAGTTTTTAATGTTCCATCCTCTGGAAGCTTCTTGCAAAAAGATAAATCTTATACTCGGAACGGCTTGCATAACTTAATGGATATTGTGGAGAGACTTTGTAGGCCTCTGGAATTCTATCATCCCTGGGCACTACTCCAATATCTATATCGAGGTATGTTGGTATAACTAGTTATATCATCTGCGTTCATCAAGTTGTCTTTAAAAGCAAATTTATGCATCTTCATTCAACGTTATACTCATGACATCTAATTTTATTTGTGGAAACTTGATGATGATGAAAAGCACTTTCCAGATTTTATGAACATGGAATCTAATCATAAATCTTTTCTATGAATGAAATATAGCTCTTCCTAGCATTTTCGGGCATAGTTCTATTTTTTTTGTCCAACTAGAGATGAGTCACCTAGCAGCTTCCAAGTGAAGCCTTATGCATAAGCTTTTGCTCTTGTTAGATGTTACCGGAATACATATTTCATATACACGTGTAATCCAATAGTCTTTAGCCTTATTTTTTAATATCCTTAAAATGGATTTATATTCCTGAAATTACTTAAATATACTGATGAAAATAATCTCATTCTGAAAATTGCACAAATGGAGCGTATAGTTTTTAAGTTGGGACTATTGTCATTTTGGTTATCCATTTTCCCTACTATTACATTTTTACCCCAAGATGATTAATTTATGTAAAACTAAAAAAATTATTAATGTGATCAGTTTATCTGTCATATAACGGAAATGATTTTTTCCCAGCCATTCACTTCAAAAAGAGTAGTATTCTTTTTTGATATAGGCAAGTGAAGGTTTGCCGTTTGTGACATATTGCTTAATACTACAAGATATACTATTTAGTGTTTCCAATTATGTGAGCGTGGATATTAGAATGTTTGGCTATGTTTTCCTTGGTTTGCTGATTCACTCGTATCGATAGATGAGAACATTTATATGTGTGTTCATGCTTTCTTATCTATGTGCAAGCGTGCATATTTGAGTACATTATCCATTTTTTTTTCAAGGATTGACCTGACCTTGAATTCTTGCTGTCTATTATCTGATTTTGTGGTATTAGAACTCTTATGTGATACTGTAATGTCCAGTTTAGCATTTATGGGCATGCATATTTTAAATAGGCATGTTTCCTAATACAATTTCCATACTCTATAAATTGCCTATTTTTATGGTTTTTTACTTTCTTTGTAGTATCGGGCACGCTCAATTTGAATCGAGTAAAGTGCCAAAATAGTTTCTGACTATTTACATGGGGCTGCTTTAGTCCCAGGGTTTATTGAAGTATTAAAATAGTCTCAGACTTTTTTAAATTTGAGCTCTACAGTCTTCAATGGGGACTATTTTAGCCCCAATTTAAAGAGTTCGGCGACTATTTTGACATTTCTATAAACTTTGGTATTAAAATAGTTCCATGTAAATAGTTATGGACTATTTTGACACTGTACTCAATTTAAATATATAATAACAAGTTGCTTTTTATAAAAAATGACTTGAAATAGTTTCTGATACTAGAGTTAACTCAAATCACAATAGGAAAAATAAATTTTATTACTCAAAAGTAAGTAAACTATTACAACTCACACACTGAAAGGGGAATTACAATAAATACGACATAAAAACTCACACTAGGGTGGATTTAAGTTGGTGGTGGTGGCCGGTAGAGGTTTGGAAGTGTTGGTAGGTGATTGGGATGGTTGGGTGGTGGTCATTTTGGGTGGTTGTTTTGAGGGTGATAGCAAGCATGGGATAGCTGGACAATGATATGATTATAAGGGGAAGAGTTGTGGGGTTGCGGCGGTGATGTTGGATGATGGGATAGGGGTATAAAAACAAAAGTAAGGATTGTCGGGTTGCGGCCGCAAAGGTGGGGGTTTGGGTCATTAAAAACGGTGAAGTAGGTGGCTGGGATAGCAAGGGGCAACTAAGGGTGCGTTTGGGGCAGCTTGTGTGTTTCAGGATTAGCAACTTATTCTGAAATGCGGCCCGGGTCGACCGTGGGGTTCGACCCACGACCTGCTTTTAGTGTAAAATTGGAACCACATTTTCGGATAAGTGGGAAAAATGCGCGAAAAACGCGCGAACCAAACAGTACCGCGACATTTTCAAAAACACCTCCGCATTTATAAGCTGCCCCAAATGGACCCTAAGACGAAGGGCGGTGGACTGCGGGGCAACAGAGCGGAGGGCTGTTCGGGGATTGTGGAAGCGAGGGGATGGTTGGAAAAGTTGCGGAGGAGTTGGTAAGGATAAATTTTCCTACAGGATCGAAATACAACTAGAGCACTAGTTGATTCTAGGGTGACAATTACCACCTCAGGCGAGTTACAACCGGAGCAACTTTTCGTCTTTGACTACAACTCTAGGAAAAAAAACTCCTTAGAGGCCACAATATGAAGTTAGAAACAATAAAATCCCCCTCTGTCGGGCTGACAACGTTAAACCAAGCACTTCATGGGAGGAAACCCACATATATATATATATATATATATATAGAAGCTTCAGCGACGACTGATTTGGTGCAGGGAGACAAAGCTTATGTTCGAGCATGGAGGAACAAATGTCGGCACATGCATGAGGGATCGCAGTTGCCTCGATCACGAGCTAACTAGGAAGGCAACGGCTGAACTGCAGCGTGACCCTCGCAATCTAGTCGTGAGCTTGATCCTTGCACAGTGTCGTGATCCTTCATGTGTCATGATCTTTCCGCACCGCTTGATCTCTGCTTTGTGGATTGTGCAGCAGAGAAGGCATTAGGCTCTATACAACAACACGCATGAGAGCTCCGGTAGAAGTCACGATTGAAGCCCTGTGGCTACTTGCTGTTCGACTCTCAGCTCAATGGCTTCTCTTCCTCCTCAACCACCGACAGCTTGAGTTTTAAATTTTGGAAGACTTATGTTGATATGGTTGCTTTGTGGGATCAATGAATCAGGTTTTCTCTCAAGTTTATCATGAATCATTTGAAGGCCAGGGGACTGTAACCTCATCAAGAAGACGTGTCGAAAGAGTGGAAAACTAGCTCTAATTTTCTATGATGTTGAAGTTTCCAACCTGGTTGATAAGTGCAAATTTACCCTCATTGGGATGTTCCAATTGAGACATCAAAAAATTGAAATAGTTCGAAAGACTTTTGAAGATCTCAAACTATTGAGAAATTGAAAGGTTGGTCTCTTTGATGGGAGACATGTGATGATACAATTATCCAAAGTAGATAATTATGTCAAAATATTTTCCAAGAAGTATATGTCAATTGATGAAAAATTTATGAAATTGCTCAAGTGGTCTCTTGTATTTGATCCTAGCCAAAAACCCTTTATAGTTCCAGTCTGGTTTAAACTACTGGCCTAAAGTTGCACTACAAGCCAGATTAAAGTTTAATCTATTTATATCTTTTCCTCATCAACTGGAAGCTGGTCTTTTTCCTTTGTGTCCTCATCGACTTCAGTATCTATTGTGTTCCAAATTTTTAAGAATGCCCTGTTTTGCGAAACAGATTACCCCCTAATTGTGCAGTTTTATTCAATATGATCAAATCCATGTCACTTGCAACATTTCTTGGTTGGGATGAATTTAGGTACGTGGATTGATTTCATTTGTTATCCACTCCGACTCAACATTTTCTTTGACGAGGTCAATTTGGATTTTCTCCTGGGTCTAATCTGCTTCTATGAATCTAAGGATGAGCACTGCCTGTAAGACGTGGTGATCGCCTAGTGATGTGGTCTCTACACTTCTGATGCTAGAGTCTGAATTTTTTGTCTATAGTATGCTGATAGGAACTGATGCTGTATCTCTCGCTTTACCATCAGTTACTCCCATTCTCCATATGCTCTCTCCTCTCTCCTCTCTCCTCTCTCGACCTCCTTTTATATTGGATTCCAAAGCGTCGTGGTCGTTCTTCTGCATCGTTAAAGTCCTCTGTATGGAAGGGATTCAAATTCCTTTCTCTTGTTACCCTTTGATTCCCCAAATCTCAGTTGATAGTAATCTTCCCCTGGGTTTCATCCTCAATATTTGCAAGTCTCCGCTGAACCTGAAGAATCTTTCGCAGTATGTCTTCTCGGGTAGGCTTGGGCATGTATCTCCTTGGTGCCATGGTGAGGGTTTGGAGTGGGAGGTGAAAAAGGGTGTATGAGACTAATTAAGGGTGTAGAAAATTTTATTTGGGGTAATCGACAATGGGAATTTAAGGTTAGGTCAAATTTAGCTATGGTCTGGGAATATAAAACTTGGGGGGGGGGGGGGGGGGGTTTAAGGCGGATGTTAGGAAACCCTATGATAGGACTAAGATTTGACAAGTTCTGATACTAATGATACTAGACTTAACCCATACCATAATAGGGAAAACAATTTTATTACTCAAAAACAAAGAAATGGTTACAACTCACTCACTGAAAGGGGAATTACAACAAATACGACACAGACTCACACTAAGGTGGATTTAAGTTGGTGTTGGTAGCTGTTAGGGGTTTGGAAGTGTTGGTAGATGATTGAGATGGTTGGGTGCTGGTTGGAAAGTGGCGATTATAACTGTGAAGGAGTTTTTGATGACTGTTTTGAGGGTGACAACAAGTGTGGGATGGATGGACAACGATATGACTGCAAGAGGAAGGGTTTGTGGGCTGCGGTGGTGATGTCAGATGGCGGGACAGGGGTAGAATAACAAAAGGAAGGATTGGCGAGCTGCGACAACAAAGGTGAGGATTTCAGACAGCGAAAACAAAGAAGCAAGGGACTTGGACAGGGAGGGGCAGCGAAGGAGAAGGGTGGTGTGGACTACGGGACAAAAAAGGGGAGCGCCGTCCGGGGACTGTGGAAGCGAGGGAGATAGTTGGAAAGGTTGCGGACGAGTTGTGTAAGTATAAATATCCCCGCGGGATCGAAATACTGCTGGAGCACCATTTGATCTTTGGGGGGCAGTCACCACCTATAACGAGTTACAACTGAAACACATTTTCGTCTTTGGATACATCTCTCGGAAGGGAAAACGCTTTAGATGCTACGATCGGAAATAAAAAACAATCAAAATCCCCTTTAAACATGCTCACATCACATATTTATAATAGAAGCTAGAGGAATAGAAGATCATTGGAAAGTAAATACAATAAAAAGGAAAAGTAATATAATAGGAAAAGGCTAGGACAGGAAAGGGAGGTGGGCAAGGAAAGTGATAAAAAGGGAAATGAACAACTAGGAAAGGTAGAAAGGCTGGACCGCAATACTATAAAAACTATAGTACCACGACCCTGTTAAGCCCCCACATTAGTTTCTTTTAGAACAGAGTTTTGAAAACGAAGTTTTTCAATTTCTTCATAAAGCTACTTTTTGAAAGTATCTTAGATACATTATGTAAAAGAGAAACACAACTAAATGCGTCCCTAATACCATATTTTTTCTAGTGATATAATTTGAAACTATTTTATCCATCATTCTTGTGGATTTGCTAACATGTTTCTTTCCTTTTTTGACATAATTTTATGCTATTTACTATCTTCTCAATCTGAATTTGCTATTACTTTTTTCATACTTAGCTAATGTTGTACTAAGAGCTGACACTGTGGATTGGGTTGACAATTGGCAATTTAGGTAACTGGAAACGTGCTTATATTGTTTTGAAACATCTCGTTGATTCACTCAAGTCTTTAAATACTTCTACAACTGTAGTTGCATGCTGCAGTTCAGGAAAGCCTTGCTATATTCCACATATATCTTTGTCTAAGTACCTTGTTGGAACAACAGCAGAGCCAAGCGGTGCTACTTTACATTGGAGTAAAGGAAGTAATTTTGCATCTGCAAACTTGGAGAAAAATATTTTTCAGTTTGGGGAAGATACTCTGAAGCAGACAGTATATAAGGATTTTCCATTGATTGACGGCTTGAAGTCTGAATTTATCGGGTTTATTGACACCCTTGAGAAGTCTCATTACTTAGTTACTTTAACAAACATGGATAGAATCTACATATTAACCGTGCTTGATATTTTGCTTGAGCTCAGCAATACGAGCTACACTTCTCTATATGAGAGCCTTGATGAACCTGGCCGAAGGTACTTCATTAACAAGCCTTACTTAAGTTTTATCTAATGTGCAGTATTTTAATATTTTGTTGTTCTTTCTTTGAATTGTACAATGGATTGCTAGTATGAATGATAAAGTATAATATTATAAATTTTCTTTGATACTTTACTGGCGCTCTAAAACTCTTTATAAACAAAGGATTTTTTTTATTTTTGGCGGGTGGCTACTGAGCACTATGGTCTCAGATTAAGTTCTTTCTTGAAACTTTTCAAGTGAATATGGTCTTAAATCTAAATGTTTTACAATATTTTGATTCTCTTTCTTATAATTTGTTGATAGCTTCTTGTTTTTGAGGTTGAATGATTTTGCCAAAAGAAACATTGTTGTTGCTATTGATCACAGTAGTGACAGCTGACATGATGGGATGGGTGAAGTTTCTCTTTTGCATTTGCTGTATTGTACGGTACCCTTAGAACCTTTCTATGTTTCACAACATTTTAGGTATACCACAAAATCAAATTTTAATGCAAGTGTCCGATCTAACCCGAGAGCTTAAAATTTTAAAGACAAGAATAGACCGTCTGACGGTGATTAAATTACAAGTATGATCACTAAATTGTTATAAATAAAAAATTATCATTTAAGAAAAAAATTATCTATTGAAGAAAAAATTTTCTATGTCCAAGAACAATGAAAGAGCTATAAAATTCTAAAATCAAAACTAAGGATCGCCGCAACATACGTGGATATATTGGATTTTATAACGCATTTATATACACACTAAAAAACATGAAAATCATATCATTCAAAACATGAAAACTACACCGAGATTCTAAATCCAATATTATAAAAGTACATACTCAAAACATATGTACAAGATCCCAAAACTATTTTACAAAAGCTATACAAAGATACACCTGACTACTTGCCCCAGTGCTTGTTGCCCCTATTTTAAAGGCAACAACGAAGAATGGGCAACAACGAGCTCAACGAAATAATCAGGACTAATATAAGATTTTATAACTGGAAAAGAAACAACGTACATGCTCGTATGAAACTGTACACGTCTACACATAAGTCATAACATGACAACACAGTAGATAACATGAAAGAGAGCAGGTAGTGTAAAAATCAATACTGCACTGTAACGTATAAGTCGTAAATATGAAGTCGTAAGTATGAAATTATAAGTCGTAGGTATAATAAAAAAGATATTTATATGCTGTTTATCATATATAATCATAGTAATGTCATTTCATAGAGGTTATTTCATGACAATGTCACTTGTTTATGTATACGATTCAACTATTTCCATGTCATTTCATATAGGTCATCACCCTAACCCGAGGCTATATAATCTATTGATAAATGTTGGGCTTCCTTCAACATAGCTATTATCAATTGCCCCGCGCTTTCCTAACTTTCTGTCACCATCTAACCCAACGGTTCCTAGACTTTCGTCTTCGTGTAAATATTAAGAGTTAAGAATACTACATCTCTGTATTGTGTACTTGCAAACAATTAGATAATAGTCTACCCATAACATTACTCATATTGTTTCTTAACATATAATACCTATAGCATATATTAATAAACATTCCATATGCATGTATGAATTATAAATGAATACCTGTGGCGTGTCATAACATGATATAACATCACATGTATAGTAGAAGAAGTCAACTTGTATTCATACATTTCCAAGCTAGTACTCATCTAAAGTATGTAGAAATTTCTAAATGCATCATTGTCAAATAAAAATCATATGAAAATTTATAGAAGATTTTTTTCTTAAATTAACATAAGATTATTTTACCTGACTTGACGGAGCAGCCCTACAACGAGCTCTCACATGCTCGTCTCAAGCTCGCTACCTCGTATATACAACCCGAGATTTCAAAAGCATCGTACGATTTCATAAAATTTTGGCTCATAACACGCATTAACCAAAAACGTAACTTATTCTCCCAAAACATACCTCAAATCGGCTTCTCAACATAAATTCATCTTTTTGAAGTCACCTATTTCTCTCCCCAACTCTTCCTAACCTCGTATTTTTTTACTTTCCCCTAGCTGATTTGGTGCCAAAACCCTTACACTTTTGAGGCTCTCGACACAAGATCGACACCTCCAACGGCTACCAAAAACATAAAATGCGTAAAATACGAGACAAACTTCAATACGAAAGGGGGAGGAAGGAAATTAAAGTCTAAAATAGTGTAAAAAAGGGATTCATATCTTTTAATTTTGTCCCCGAAGCACTTGCTGCGAGCTGTGACCTCTTTGTGACCGCTCGGTTGCTACTCACGCCCCTTGCAATGTAGCAAAGGTCGCAACTCATTACCGAGCTGTTGCCGTGTCAATGTAACGAGGGAGAGGGGGAATCAAGAGAGAGAGAGAAGGGATTTAGGAGAGGGGAAGGAAATTGAAGCTCATAGACCTATTTGACCGAACAAATGGAATAAAAGGCGTGGATTCCAGTTGTGAATATTGTTGTTGCGGGATTAATGGTAGCATTAGTGATAATCAAAGTTTAATTAATTTAATTTTACTTATAACTTAAACATTTTATGTGTCCCAACCCTTTAGGAATGCATGCATGGTGTTTTATATTGAATTGATCGTTTTCATTCATTGAATTTTATAAAATTATTTCGATCAAATTTCAAGAGATGAAAAATTTGGGATACTTTTTCAAATTAGCGTACTTGCTTTCTAAACTTTTAAGCATTACAACTTTCCCCTCCTTACTTCGTCATCAAACGAAATATTTGACTTTACATGAATAGAGAAGGATATTTTTCTCGCTTTTCTTCTTTTTTTCTATGTAGCTTTCTTTTCAGGCATTTGCTTCTACTTTATCTTGACAAATGAGATTTGTCTATTTCTTAGCTTCTTAATATCAAGTTCTATAATGCTTTCAAACTTATCAATATATGATAGATTTTTCTGTATTCTGAATTTAAAATTTATTTTCTTAGCATTAAAATGTGAAACACATCGTGAATATCTGATATATTCGCAGGTAATGTTAATCTATAGGCAACTGGATCGGTCTTTTCTATAATTTCAAAATTACCGATGTACTTAGAACTCAATTTGCTTCCTTTACCAAATCTAGTTTTACCTTTCATTGGCTTGACTTTCAAAAATAAGAAATCTCCAATTTCCAATTTGATTGCCTTGTGCTTTAGATCGTAGTATTTATGCTATCGATGCTGAGCAACTTTCAATGTGTCTAATTAATTTGATTTTTTTTGTGGCTTTATCAACCAGCTCAAGGCCTAACATTTGACGTTCACCCACTTCAACCCAACTCAATGGAGTTATGCTCTTTCTGTCATACATTGTTTCATAAGGAGCCATTGTGATATTGGACCGATAACTATTATTATAAGCGAAATCGATCATTGAAATGTGATCTTCCTAATTGCTTTTAAAGTTGATAAAGCAAAACCTTAATAAATCTTTAAATACTTGAATTGTTCTTTCTGATATTCCGTTAAATTCTGGATGAAATGTTGTGTTGAAATGTAACTCTGTACCCAAACATTATTAAATGCCTTTCTACAATCTCGATGTGAATCATCTGTCTCAGTCGAAATCATAACTTTTGGAATACCGTACAATTTAATAATTTCTTTTACATACAATCTGATCAACTTTTACACTGAATCTATCTGCTTGATTGGCAAGAAATGAGCGAACTTTGTTAGCTTATCAATAATAACCCAAATACTGTCATGACCCTGTCTAGATCAAGGAAATCATATAACAAATTCATAGCAATTTTTTTTTCATTTTCATTCAGATAACGACAATGATTGTAGCAATCCGTTTGGTCTTTGATGTTCTGTTTTCACAATCTGATAAGCCTGATATTGAGATACATATTCAACATCTTTTTTCATATTTGACCACCAAAATGTCAACTTTAATTCTTTTTACATTTTTGTGCTACCTAGATGAGTTGTGTTGCCTGAATAATGAGCTTCATGTAAAATTTCTCATCTCAAATCAGAATCAGCAGATACCCATATCTGCAGCTTATATCTGATATCCCCATCTTAATTGATTGCCATGTCAGACCTCTTTCTTGATTGAAGTGGTTTAAGGAGTTTCAAATATTCACTATTACCTTTCTGAACTACTTTGATTCTATTTACCAAAGTAGTTTACACTACCAATTGATGTAAATACCCATTATTTGATGGTCTTCTAACTTCCAACTGTAGGGCATCACTTTTTTTAATCAACTTTGGCCTCTGAGTGGTAGTTCAACTTGCACTACCTGTGGATTTACGACTTAATGCATCAACAACTACATTTTGACGCGAGGCTTTCCCCTGCATGAACATGGTAATTGAAGGAAGCAAGCCAGCCAGCTGCCAATCAATGTAAATACTCACTATCTTATGGTCTTCTAACTTCCAACTATAGGGCATTAATTTACTTAATAAAATCTAACCTTTGAGTGATAGTTCATCTTGCACTGCCTGTGGATTTATGACATAATGCATCGATAACTACATTTTGATGCAGGGCTTCCCCCGCATGGACACTGGAAAGGGAGTTTCCCACACGATTACGGGAAGCAAGCCAGTCGGCTGAAATGGCTGGCATAGGGGACCGGTCCGAGCGGTCTGATCCAGGATTTCAAAGGGTTCGTGCCGCCTTTCCTTTTGCATTTCGTGCCCAGATCGAGCGGGATTTGGGGAAAGGCGACATTACCGCCTGACCTTTTCCCCTCCCTTTTCTCGTCGCCTTTCCTTTTTTATTTTCCACCTAGCTAGGTCTATTTATGTGCTTCTTTTCTAGTTTAGAGGGAGTTTTTGCTGGAGTTGATTTCGGATTTTCTGTGTGGAATCATTTTCCCAGTACTAGGACTGTATCTGAGGAGGTGGTAGTGCTTCGGTTGTATCCTACTCTGAGGTGGTGATTGTACCTCCTATTTTATCTTCCCTACTTCGTCTTCTCCATTTCCCGTAGCAGCCGACCATCCCCAACTGCTTCCTACTGTGTTGCTGAT